TTCTTGACCCAAGTTGCCATGCTTAGGGTATTTTAAGGTATATAACATGTTAGGATCAGAACTAACACTTTAATTTTATGTTTTTTTTATGTCATACTCCTTTGATTTCTTATCATTTCTGTCTTCCTCTCTTTCTCCACTTCTTCAAGTTTGTTTGTAAGATTTTCATCTCTTGTGTATTTTATCACATGAACTTTGTGTGTGTTTGATGTTTTATCATCTTATATATTGATGTATTGTCATCTTTATGATGTGTTATCATTCTTCCTTTGAAGAGTTATGATTTTCCATCTTTGTGTGATGTTTTATCATTTCCTCACCTATTTGTGCTTGCTTCTCCTTTTGTATGCTCCCCATATAATTTTTAGTTCACTCTTCTCTAAGTTTGAACTAAAATAGACCTTAGGATCTTTATCCACGCATGACAACATTAGTTAGATGCTTCCCTCCTATCCCAACTATAGGATCGACATTGCATGATAACTTTAGGGCTATTTTGCTAGCCCCCCCTTATACTTTTTCTTTCCTTTTTTGCATCTCATTAAGACTAAAACTTATCTTTTTCAAACTTCTCAAAACACTTAACAATAAATGATGAGAATCACATCTTTTTTAAGTATGGGAAATGATAAGCGGATTTCTTCTCGGTATTATCATTCTTTCATATTAGTTTTTGGTGTGGTTCAAGTATCAAAGACTCCTTTCATGGATAAGTGGAGAAGTGGCTAATATCTCTCTCTTGATATCAACTAGCTATTATCCGCAACAAAATACCAACCAATGCAAATATTTTCGTCTTAAGTGGATCCTGTGGAGTACCACAGACGTGAGGGATGCTAATATCTTCCCCTTGCATAATCGACTTCCTTACCCTTTTTCTCTTGGTCACGATAACCATGCTCATTTCCATCCATCAAGTTTACTCAGTGTTTCCTTTCCCTCCCTTGGGATAAATAACATTGATGGCGACTCTTCTGGCCTTTCACCTCCATTTGTGCTTCGATAAAAAACTCAGACGCAACACATATAACAGCTATCATACACAATCTCTAGAGTCAATGAAATTGACTCAATTTTCATCAGCCTCTGAGTTTGAATCATGTATATACACATGGTTCTTCTTGAGGTACTTCACCTTAAATCTAGGTGTTTTCCCTGTCCTGGATGTTCCAGTAGATGCTCTAACATTTGTTATTATGTTGGACTCTACTTTCTTTGTATCATAACCCACTTCGTTCTTGGTTTCTAGTAGAAGAGTCTTCTTTGCATTAGCAATTTTGAAAGATTTTGCTCATGTTGAAACGCAGATTGTGAGGACGGTGAGGTAGTAAGGCCTTTAAATACAAGGAAATTTACCTAGGTTGCAACGACACCTTACTTGTAACAACACTTCAATCAATGAAAGCATTTTTGGAAGAAGATAATATCACCCTTAGTAACAGTGAACCACTCACCATAGGAGAGATACACGCTATTGTTCAGCTTTATGTCTTTCCAAGCTTTGACTACTTGAAAAACGTTACAACATTTGAAATGACATGTGCATGCCATTGAAAATGATTCTTCTGAGATTGCACACTCCACTATGTGAAAGAATATAGTTGGTAGACCATCCAAAATAGCTACTACTATAGTTCTTCAGTAATGCAAGTTCAAAATTATCCCCTCCATATTCTCAATGTAACTTGCACCTCAAGTTATGATGAAAATACTTCTTAAATTTTCTTAGTCATACCGAGTTTATGAGTGTCAATATATGTCTTTAGCAAGACCCCTGGCACACAGATGACAAAACCAATGACTTTGTTCTGCAAGTAGAATAAAATCCTTGTACCTTGATTGCAGTAACATATCACCCTACAATGTCATAACATTCCATTTGACATTTCACTCTTTTAGTAATCAACCCAATTGAAACTCATATCCCTTTAACAATGTACCTGATCTTAAAGACATACCAGGATTCAATTAATTATAATCAGAGTGACCAGAATATCCTCCAATAATATAACCTTCTTCAGACTTGGCCAATAGTTTTTTACTCCAAAGGTCACAATCATTGCATATTCCATCTCTGAAACAACTGATGATTACAGACCAAAATAAACTCCAAATAACGAACTCCCTCTTAAAATTCTTTCTTGAGAGCTTTCTTATTTAGTGTCTCCTAGCCCTTTAGAATCTTCCACAATCTCTAGATTAACAAATTGATGTGGTGATGTTCCAACATTTAGTTGAACATCGGTATCTTTCTCAGTGAACACATCACTGATTTTGATCTTGAAGTTAACATCACTAAAAGTACCTCTCTCAATAGAGTAACCCAGAAACGTACCATGTTCTCATTAAAGAAATAGATAAGAACCTTTGAAAACTTCACAGATAATAAATTTACTTTGAAAACAAAAATCATGTAAATAAATCTATCCACCAAGATACTCATCTTTCATTGAACTAATTTGATTCATAGAACAAGTTCCAGAGATTTTGCAACTGTCTGATGTTGCACCTTCAGGTGTGACATCTTGACTTCATCTTCCTTGACCACTATGTAAAAGGATAAGAAATTAAATACTTGTGGAAACCACAAATAGCAATTTTTTTAAATCCTCATAAGAACTTCTTACATCTCTTTAGAGACACGCATTCTTCCTTGATGACATATACCTTCTGACCTTGATTACACAACTGACTTATGTGAAATACAATAGCCATCAGTCCTTCAGTAAGAAGAAAAATTAGCAAAACTTAGAGAATTCATCCTAAATTATTTAGTTATCCAATGCTCTTAAACTTCCCTTTCAGCATCAACAACAAAAGGAACATTTGATTAGCATGAGACTTAAACAAACCACCATAACCATTTTTACTGCAGTTAAGTGTCTGGAACAGTTAGTTTCAAAATACCAATCATTTTAGTTAAAGATCTAATAAAGGTATGAGAGATAATAAAATCATCACCTTCCCTGAGTATTAACCACTGCTTGGTTAAATAATACTGAACTTGACCTTCTTGGTGGCGAGCTTGAGGTACAATTGGAATAGCGTATCTTTAGCTTGGGCCTCCCCACTTATCTAGAGACGACTAGTTAGGAGTGCATTTGCATCTTGATGTATTATGCCCCAATCTCTTCGGTTAGGGCTATTCCTACAATCACTGCTTCATACTCAAATTGATTATTGGTGGTTAAGAACTCGAATCTCAAGGAAACTTCTACTACAAGCCTAGAGTTATTTTCTAGAATTAGACATGCACCACTTCCCCGGCTGTTAGACGATTCGTCTATAATATTACCCGGTGTGGTTTGGCTCTAGAGGTACGGGGGTTATTTTGGCCAGGAAGTTAGTGAATATCTGAGACTTTATCACTTTCCTTGCTTCGAAGACACTTTGAACTCCGACAACTCAATGACCTATTTTGTTAGACCCCCCGCCAGATCCATCTAATAAAGCTCCTATTTTACGGGCAAGTTTATTCGAACAATCATGGAAGGTACGATGAAGTTCCTTCTAAGCTTGTATGATGTCGTCACCAACTTCAAGGATGCTTTCTGAATCTTCTAGTATTGCATTTCTGCTTTATCTAGGGCTTTCAATATGAAGTACTCAAGGCTCTAGTTAGATTTTGGCTCTCTAATCAAGATAGAATTTATCACCTCCTCTACAAATACTAGGTAAAGGTACAACCTTTAATGTTTTCCTTTCTTCGAAATACACTTTGAACTCCGACAACTCAGTGGCCTATTTTATTAGATGCCTCGCTAGATCTGATCGATAAAGCACCTATTTTAGGGGCAAGTTTGTTTGAAGAGTTATGGAATGTAAGAAGAAGTACCTTCTAAGCTTGTGTGATGTCGTCATGCCATGGATGTTTTCTCAATCTTATGATATCGTATTTATGCTCTATTTAGGGCTTTAATCATGAAGTATTAAAGCTCTAGTTAGATTTTGGCTCTCTAGTCAGAATGGCACTCGCCGCCTCCTCTACAAATGCTAGGTACGGGTATAGTGTTTCTCCTGGGAGGGCCAAGCAAGTACAGGTGGTATGGCCAAGGTTTTCTTTAATGACTCGAACTCCTCTTCGCAGTCAGGTGTCCATTCAAACTTCGCCTCTTTCCTCAACAACCTAAAATGTGTGATGGGCGAATTTTAAGATGAACCTGTTCAAAGAGGTCAATATACCATTCAGCTTTTGGACCTCCTTGTTTGAGGTTGGAGCAGTCATTCAGGTCACTACTTCGCACTTGTTGAAGTTTTCTTTGATTCCCCGCTCATGTAGGTAAAAGCCCAATAACTTGTCAGCACTTACCCCGAATGAGCACTTCTCTAGATTAAGCATAATATTATATTGTCGGACCCTTCTAAATATCCATTGGAGGTGTTGATTATGGAAATCCTCCTAACTGAGCTTTATGATCATGCCATCCATGTATAATGTCAACTTCTCCCATATCTCTTCTTGAAAGATCTTGTTCATCATCCTCTGATATGTTGCACCAACATTCTTCAACCCGGGGGGCATGAATTTGTACTATTAATTGGCTTGCTCGATCATGAAGGATGTTTTCATTCGGTGGGGTCCGGACATGGGTATCTGATTATACATGGAGTAAGCGTCTATGAATGATAGTAACATGTACCCGACAGAATCATCTACAAGTTTTTCAATGTTTGGGAGTATGTAAGAGTCTTTCAGGCATGCTCTTTTAAGACCAGTGTAATCAACCCAAGTCATACACTTCTCTAGGGCTTTCTTCTCCATAACAACATTGGACATCCATTATGTATACTTCACCTTAGAAATGAATCTTGCATCTAATAGGTCTTTCATTGTGCCTTTCATGGCCTCAACTTTCTCAAGGGACTGCTTCTTTGTTACTAGGAGACATAGCAGGCTTCGGGGTCGATGTTTACTTAATGGTCGACCACTTTAGGATCGATGTCGGGCATCTCGTATGGAGATATAGCAAAAAGATATGTGTTTTCCGAGAGGAATTCGATTAGTGTACTTCAAAGGGAAACTTGGATATTATCTTTATTGACCTAAAGGGATTATCATTGAGTTGGATAGCCTCGAACTCATTGTCACATAAGGGCTTAACTTTGTCTTCGAGTGCGTCTAGTTCAAATATATTGACATTCCTGGGACTTTCTTTTGCTTCTACCGATGACACAAAAATGTCCTTAAGGATGATTTCTTTTATTCGCTTTGCTTCTTCAGGGTCAGCGTTGACAACGATCAGTTTCCCTTCCATATCATGATATGCTTCCTTCAGGTGGATCAGAGATGCTACCGCATCTAGTTTTTCCAAGAAGTATCTCCCCGAGATACCTTTGAAAGCACTTCTACACTGAATTATAAAGAAGTTGGGGTTACCTTTTTCTCACACACTCCTTCTCCCAATGACAGCGTCATATCTATCATTCTGCAAGGCCAACAGATCTCTGCCATGATACGCATTCAAATCTGGTTACTGTAGGCCTAGTTTCTCTGAAGTGTCGGTTTATAGGATGTTGCAACAGCTTTCGTCATCTACGAGGAATCATGTTAGAGTATGATATGCGACGTTAGTAGCTAGGATTAGTGGCAGGTCAAAGTTCATAGTTCCATTGATCATTTCACGATCTAGAAATCATATCGCCACTCGATCTCCACTTTTCTATTCGACATCAATTGTCGTTAGGGAAAGGCACTCTTATTGCAGATCTACACTAGATGTCGTTGTACTACGAATCTCGTCGATATATGATAATTATTGTAGGATTGAATCGAAAGATTTAAGAATCTCTTTGACGTGGCGAATGGAGTTATTGTTTTCATCTCTAATGCTTCCGGTAGAGATCTGATTTGTATCGAAGATGGTCTGCTTATGGAATTTCCCTGGAATTAGGAGCCAATTTCCATAGGCGACGTCAAAATTATGAGCAGGAGCCAGAATTAGGTGTACGTTGATGGTAAAGAATCCTGAATCGAGAATGTTGATCTTCGATACAGTGGCGCAGAAATAGACCAACAAGATTACTACTGTAACGTTCAAATCAATTTAAAATTCATAAATGAACATAGTAAAAAGTGGATATTAAAAAGTACACTATGAATAACTTGTGTGATGACTTTTATACCTTAGAGTAATCTTAATATTTTGGGTCTTTGGCCTCTAAACAATTATCCATAAACATATGTCAAGAAAAAATATTTTATTTTTATAATATGAAATATTTTGTATAACAAAAATTGAGATGTTAATTTAAATAAACTTATCTTCCCAAAACTGGTCAAAATCTAATGTCTTATTTGTAATTATTATATTAATATTAATATTTGTTTTAACTTAATTTTAAGTTTTACTCAAACACTACAAAGTTGGGTTTATTTTTTCTATTAAAATTATCATTTAAAAAAATTGACTTAATAACCAAGACAAAAAAAAAATGTGAAGACCTAAAATCGAGTCCAAGCACCCACATGAAATATCATCATAGCTGAGCCACTGAATTATAACAACTGGACAAATTTTTATGTTCAAAACATCCCTAATAACTAAATATGATAGAAATTACAAGAATAATTTAATTTTTTTATAAAAAATTATTTTAAACCAGCCATTATACTATATTAGAAACAAATAATTAAAACCAAAATAGAATAGAAAACTCAAGAAATTGTGACACATAAACTATCCTAATTTATGTAGGAATTTGAATGGTTCTAGTTAGTTTCTATAAATCACACAAAACCACAAAACAAGTCCTGAAATCAAGCAAAACCATACACTAGTCAAAACCAAAATAAGTGTCATTTTCCCAAAATAAAACAAACTCTCATCTTTAAAAAGGCCATTTGCAAAACCTTTCATTCCAAGCAAAGACAGTTAGAGAAAACAAAACACAACAAAACACCTTAAAAACCAGACAAATAAATTCAACATGAACATGAAGAAGGTGACTTGTGCTGTTCTCTTTGTTGCTGCCTCAATGAGTGCAGCAATGGCTGCTGTCGAGGTTCCTACTGCCGCCCCTGCACCTGGGCCAAGCAGTGATGCCTCAGCATCTCTTCCCATTGTTGGATCCTTGGTTGGTGCCACTCTTGTGTCTTTCTTTGCTTTGTTCCACTGAGCTATGTCACATGGCTTAAGGGAGTTATATGAGAATGATGTAACTCAAGGAAAAATATATTATAAGTATTATATAATTACATGATGCAAATTGATTAGATATGTATGATTGTGATTTCTCTATTCAATAAAATATCAATTTGTTTCAATATATTTCTACAAATGTTTTTATTTTACAAGTTTCTCTATAAATATGTTAAACTCGTCATTAATACAAACTAAATGTTTGAAACTACGGTTGATAAATATTGCATTCACGCAGTACAGATATTTATAATTGTTGTTGGCTCCATTCACGCAGTCAAGATATTTATAGTTGTTGGGTCGAAATAAGATGGATCAAATGCACGAGTTTGATTTTTAAAATAATAAAATATATTAATTTTGAAATATGAATCGTCTAGTCTCGATTGATGATCACAAATCCGTAATTGCGTGAATGTGTCTCATCAATAAGTGAGTGAATCGTGAATCACAATGTTTGGTTACTTTGGTATCAAATTTGATTTTGTCTGCAAATCTATATTTTGCCCGTAGACGAAGTGGATAATAACTACTAGAAACTCACACACACAACCGTGAGTACAAGGGGTCGAACTCTCCCTTCCCGTGGAGTGTTCGAACTATGGTAATGGCGTTAGTTAGGATTTGCGGACTTTGGCATAGTATTTATGTCCATGAATATATGTGGCCTATGAATATCCAACCAAACAAAAATAATTTATTATAACCATTTAGCAATAAACAATGTGTGGCATGTTATTTCCCATTCTACAATCATCAACCAAGCAACAAACTCAAATGAACAGACTTATATGCCATTTGAAATACACCTTTCATACAACAATGGATATAAATTAATAAAGAAAACCACTCATGATCAGTTTTCAGGGTTAAACATTTGAGCAGATATGAGGCTCTTCGTCAACCATATTGCTGTTTCTCTTGATGATACAGCTTCTTTCCCAAATGGTCTTAGCACACCTGCAAGTTCTTCGAGTTTATCTTGTTTAAGTAACTGAGCACATAACTCGAGCAGAGATTCCAATGCATCGGCTCTTTCCTGGCATGGACCATCCAACAATGCATCGTCGATTGCTTTGTCGCCCTCATCACCACCATTCATTGTTACATTATCATCTTCTTTCTGTGTGGAGCAAATAATTTGTAGTTTTTTGACGCCATCCTCCTTAACGGAAAGTATATCGCTATGATCGTTGCTCTCTGACGACAAGCAGTTCGTATGCAAGACTTTTTCTGTAAAAGAATCACGGTTTTCATTTTTCTCTGAGTGTTCTCTGGATTCAGTACTGTTTTGTTCAACCCTTAGAGGATGCATAATAAGCGATGAGCTTTCCTCGTTAATGCAAATATTTTTGTCAGTGCTGCTATTGCTCACACTGCAAGTAGTTGATTTTCTCAGGTCATCAAGTTTGGCATCTTCCCTCAGTGCTTTGGCATTATCAAAACCTTTACTTGAGAAGGTACCTTCGACTTCGGTAGTCGCTGCAGCAAATCTTTGTTCTTTTTCATGCAGAGAATCGTGTATACTTTTTGAGGAGAATCCATTATTAGATATTTCCCTTTCCGGTCTAGTTTTGTAGTCCTCCTTGCACACGCTGCAAGTTGTTGATTCGGAAGTTGTTGATCCATCTTTTGAGCTGCTAATACTAGAAGAAGACTCAACTATGTAGCCCGTAATCGTATGATCAATCTTGGTCTCTGGGTTGTATTCTGTGCTCGTTGAGATTGTTACCTCGGAATTGTTAGGACGATAGCTTGTATGTACATCGACATTTCCCTCAATTGGATGAACAAGTTCCAAACGATTTACGAATCCCATTTCTCTGTCGTTATGGCCCTTGCCGCCACTAGCTTTGGAGGATCTTTTTGTTTTATCCTTTGAGTTAACTATGGGATACACTGGAAGAACATTAGATGATGCATTATGACACCGAAGAACATATGGTTGTAAATGTGGATGCCTTAACAATTCCGCAGCCTGTCGACAAAGAGAGGCAGCATTAGATTCAATAGTTGTCCAAATTAATCACGTAAAACAGGATCGGTTGAACTCACTGTTGGTCTATGTTCTGGATTTTTCCTCAGCATGCTCTTGATAATTTGTTTCCTGTTTTAAACGCGTCATTTTCAGATATATCATTATGATTAATATAAAAAGGATAAGAAAGGGGTATATAAATTATGAAACTATAAGTGAAATTTTCAGAAAATATCTAAATCGTTGAACAAAATCATATATTAAAAAACCATGACGGAAGTGTGAAACAGAATGGTTTGAATATTTACTTACAGAGTGGAAGAATAAACAATTGGCAGTGGAGAAATGGAGGATCGGTTTATTTTATTGATAAGTCCAGCCATGTCCTGTTTTATTCATTCTCTCATTGGTTAAATTATTTTTCTAGTTTAAATTGTGTCGAAGAATTTAACTCATGCAAACGGTTCAAGTTCTCACCGGAGCACGAAATGCTGATTGATGCGCAGCAATCTCAAACATGCAGCAACCTTAACATTCAAAGAGACACCATTTTTACACATCATAAGGTTTTGTAAATTAGTATAAGACGTTCGTGATACTTACCGAGAGACCATATGTCAGATTTATAACCATATGGTATGTCCGCAAGGAGTTCCGGACACATGTAATTTGGAGTTCCAACGACCTATACAAGGTATAAGAAGATCAAAATTAGAAACAGATATGATATGACTATGTGAATTTCAAAGTATCGTTACATCAGAAATACCGAGGAAGTGAGGTCTTCTCCATTCAGTCGCTTTGCAAGACCAAAATCACCTGTATGATCCACACAAAAAACGCATTTCTTATGATAACATAGCACATGAAAGTCAAAAAAGCTGAGTTATCAAAAGGATAATACTACGTACCTAGCCGAATATTGTTGTCCTTGGTGAGGAATATGTTGGAACACTGAGAATTTACATTAAATTGCATTTAGTAAACATCACACAAATTTCATTTCATTTTTATTTTATTTTTCTTAGTATAAGAGAATATGTAACACCTTAAGATCCCGGTGGATTACACGGTTAGAATGCAAGTAATCTACGGCTATCAAAAGTTGAGTTAGCCACTTGCAGACCTTCTGCACTTAAAATTGGAAATCCAAAGTGAGTAATGAATATTCATAATGAAATGTTAAGGAATTGACGATTAAACTATTAATTACCTCCTCTGGAAAAAACGATCCTCGAGCTTTCTTAATGCTCTCGGCCCTGCTCCACAAAGAATGCAAAGTTCCATCATTAGGACTTCGTGTCAATGATAATATATCTCTTTTGTATTTCAACTTTTAACTTTTACGAAACACATGAAACTCGTGAAGTCCCAAACTCTTTCTTTCGTTATACTAACAAATATTTACTTTACTTACATGTCACCTCCTTCACAATAGCCAGTTACAATGCAAACATGGTCCTCCTACAAAACATGAAATATCAAAAACATGCTTATGGAGAGTGATAAAAATCGGAAAGACCTGATATAAGCATCACTCACCAAACTTAATTTCTCATCTTTATGCGAATGGACAACTGAAAATTAAAAATTAAAAATAATGGTTGTGTTCCTACCTTCTCCACCCAAGCATCTTTGTAATCCACAATATATGGGTTATTCAGTTTTGCAATCAGATTCATCTGAAATAGAGACAAACTGTGTCATTTTTATACAAGTAAACATAAAGTATTATGAAACACTGAGTCGGACACAGCCCTGACACGTCGACACCGGTACAATTTGAAAAAATGACAGTATCAGTATAAGACACTGACACGTATTGAACACCGGACATGTCTACGATTAAAAGTGTATGTGTTACAGAAGAAAGTAACTGGTCAAAATGAGCTTAGGACGGATGTCAGTGAGAAATACTATGATAACAGTCTATAGCATATATAAGAACAACCTGGCATTCTTGTATCTCTTATTATCTATGAAGCACGGACACCGAACACGACACCGACATCTGACAACACCGATAATAATTTAAAAAAATAAATAAATTGAACGTAATCAAAAGTGTCACTGACGTGTCGGTGTACGATACTGACACGAACACGCTATTTTTCAGAAATGTCGATACTACGGAGCTTATTATAGAAATAGCTTATACACAAACACTAATATGATACATAAATTAAGTTGTTTATCCAAACAAAGGCCCAAATCGAAAAGAACTCTAACCAATCAAGGAAGTGAAGAACATATTAGTCAAAGAAATAAATAATTGTATGGTGGAAACTGTGTGTATGCATGCATTAATTAGTAGATGGATATGTTACACCAACCTCTTGGTGTGCTGTACGTTTGAATTTCTCTCCCTGTTTGGCCAAACGAATCTTTTTCAGCACATACCTACCGGGAGATTAAATCATGAAAATCAATAATACTTGATGTTAATAACTTAACTGTATTGAATTCCAAAGTCAAAAAAAAAAAAAAAAAACTTAAATTTTTTCACAAGTTAAAAAGGGAAACAAAAATTAACATCTTCAAGTATAGTTTTTGTTGCATAGTTTAAGCACTTAAGGAAAAAAAGCTAAAAGTGTAATGGACTAAACTTACCTCTTTTTCTCAGACATATGAAGAACGAGAAAAGCAGAACCAAACGCTCCTCTACCAATTTGTTCTATCACTTCATACTCTTCCATTTTCTTTGACTTCATCTCACTGTTCTCTATCTCCATCCAAAAAAAAAAACCCAGAAGCTAAAAAACCAAACAGTGAAGCACTGAAGCAACAGATCCTAATTTCTTACAAACCCAATTCAGGAAATCAAAAGGAAAACAAGAAAAACTATTCTTTTATGGAAATTATGACCATGTTACAAAACTATTCTTTTATGAAATTGAAGAATACTTTATAAACTTAAGAGCACTAATTGAGAAAGTAAATAAATGTATATAGAGTATGAAGTTAGAGGACTATTCAATGGTGTTTCAGTTTCAGAAACATTGAATTGAATTGTTTTCACAAGAAAGATGAGAGAAGTTACATTCCATAGTTATGACAGTAACTACCTCCTCAGAGAACTGAACTCAAGAGAGAGAAAATAGAATATATCACTACCAAGAAAATTGAAAGGTTAATGACTTACCCAAAAGAAAGTGCAGAGAGAGATAGAGAGAGAGAGAGAGACAAAAGGTCGTACTGTAGTAGAAATAGAATGGAATGGCAACAAAACAAAGTCAAGTTTCTAAAAGCTCAATAGAAAAGGAAGGGTAGTGACACATTTATAAATACTCTATTTTATTTTATTTATGTTTGAATATAAAAATAAATTAGGTGACGAACAATAAGCCTAAAAATACAAAAATTTATATTAATAATTGTGTTCACCAAATCTAAAATTTATATTAAATATTTGTGTTCACCAAAGTCTGTAAAAAAAGAAATGAGACAGAGCAGATAAATACATTAAAAAATGCCGATCTAAAATTTTAAAAAAAATTGCAGATAAAAGGAACATATTTTACAGGTGCAACCCTAAAAATAAATACTTATTTTGGTTAATAAGCATTTCTATATGTGGAAAAATAAAGGAAAAGTCTTATATGGTTGCTTGAGTTTAGTGATACACAATCAGGAATGTTCCTAGCACATGTTGTGAAGTCATGGTCTTTGTACCTTAATAAACAAAATCCATCTAATGTTTTACATGATCCAATTGCAATAGCCAATAAAGGAAATAGTATTCTATTAAAATTTAAATGAAAGAAACATAAAATAAAAGTATATGTTCGTGTGATAGGCTGGCCAACTACCTTCCTTACTGGTCCAGGGGGCATGATACGCCTACAACATTCTTTCTTTGAGGTGAAGGAATTCTTTTTTTTATTGGTTTTTATGAATGATGATAGGACCAGCTTTGAGTTAATTTTCAATTGTCAAGTGTTTATGTTAATCCAATGTGGGTCAATAACCAGGTTGTTGTCATTATGCTGCATACATATTTGTATAATTTAGGTGTTAGTTTGGTTTATTTAGCTCTAAGAAATGTAATAATCATTACAAAGGCATGTGCTTAACAAAAGCAATTTCAGGTTAATTACATAATTTGGTGATCATGGTGTCAAATCAAGAACCTAATGAGTTTGCTTAACCAAACCATGAATGAATGAGGTGTAATGTCGGTGTAGTAAACCTTGTGATAGAGGTTACACAACACATGATCATGAGAAAGTCATTAAAATAAGATCCAGAAGATAAGAAAACCGCAAGCTAACATTTTTGTTACTCGAATGAATTTGTATCCATAAATTCAAGGACAAGTTATTCCTGTTGACCCTCACATGCAAATGGCTTTTCAAAGATCAAGAAGAAAAATATAGGAGTAGAAAGAACAAAAGACTCATCTTCCTCTGCTTCCAATGATTGCCTTTTTTTTTCCTTTCCAAGCTAGTATATACTTTTCCTCACATGCAAGCATGACATTGTTATGGGTAAGAAGTTAATAGATACTTATTTGGGTTATATGAGAGACAGTAAAAAAAACGTAAATAAATTTGTAGGAGACTTCATTTATTGATGCAACCAGTTACTTCTTATGAAGCATTTATCAATGGCCTGAATTTGCTCAGCTCATTGAAGACTTCACAAATGTCACAGACATTTCATACATATCTATAAAACTAATATTGGGCGTGGGTTGATGGGTATTAAATCTTATAATGACCTACAAAATTCAGAAGAAATTTATAAAACCAACAACCACTTAGTGTCTTCCACACACACAAATAACAATCACCTACTGTCACAACTCAAGTAAAACGGTTGTTCCAAACCAGTCACATTACATTGCACATAAGAAAAAACACCAAAGTAGATTTGCAGAAAAGAACAACCACTAATATTTGATTGCTACATAAAACGATCTAATGCCATGCTCACACACTTCACACAAATAAATTATGCACACATAATAGTATTTTATTTTTACTTTCGCTTTGATTGCTTTGGTGTTTTTGAGGACCTTCCCTTCTCCAGCTTTTTCTGTGCAGCTGCAAATTCCTCTTCAGAGGGCTCTTGCATATCGTCACCACCATACTTCGATACTAGAGACGAGAACATTGAATCAAACTGGCCTTTCCTCTCATTTCGGCGTTGTGATATGACTGCAAACAGATCTGTTTCCGACTGCTTATTCGACCTATATAGAAAACAATGGATCAGTCCTCAATTAGAGTGTAAATAAATGAATATAACAAGTAAAACTCCAAGTGACAAACTTACTTTGCCTTCCTCTTTAAAGGACTTGTAGGTGGTTTGGTTTCTGACACTTCCTTAGCCCATTTCTGGTAGGCTTTTGTTGCCTTAAGTTCTCCTGCAGAATACGGAAAAAAGAAAACAATCATCAATGAAGATGCTTCACAATCATCAAGGAAGAAACTTAACAACCATAGAAACTATGACCTAGAGCAAATGTCTGGCTGAAACATCAGTTAGAAATATCTAATTAATGTTTCTTACCAGCAGCTATAGCCTCATCAAGAATGTCCTTGAATCGGTGTGAGTCAAGTTTAGCATCGGAACAAAGCATTGAACAGAAAAGCCTGCAAAGAGAAGTTACTCGAGTTAACAAACTCAAAGCCTCTTATGAAAATACAACACAAAAAACTAACACTGATTTCTTACTTGTTCATATTCCCCTTGCACTTCTTGTACAGATCAATCAAGTCATTCTTCTCGGAGTCAGATCCCCTGTAGTTTGCTTCAAACTCCTCAATATCAGCTTCAGTGACCTGTGGTTCATTACAAATCAACGCATGTAAAAAAAATTATACCACTACAATGAATCAGGAAATGGGATATCATATATAAAACAGCTACCTTCTTGTACATTGTTCTGAAAAACTCGTGCAGATTCTGAACATCTCCTGCAAGATCCTGGTTTCCAAAAAAGATGAATGAGCCATAGACGTCTACAGCATAGCTATACTGCTTAAGGATCCCAAGTTCTAAATTCTAATCGTATGGCCTTTAACCAGTAACTCAAAAAACATCTATACTTTAGCATAAGTTAAAAGCACTCAATACCAGTGTAGTCAAGATTGAGTGTTGGATGGTAAGATCTTAGGTGCTAAGGATGCCAGAGAGTGCTACGATCAGAGAAATATTGTTTTCGTCAAGATCATAAAAAAACGTATTGGGGCATTTTTGGGGGCCTGTATTATAATTTTAATGTGTTTGTGTATGTATATAAAGGGGGTGCAGGAGGCTCCCATTTTATGGGCTTTGGGGGTGTCGGATGTACGCGGCCTTACCCCTGTTTGTGTAAGTATATATATGTATGAAATTACCAATTTTCCCTTTGGTAGGATTTTACATGCCGTGCTAAGGATTTGAGTTTTACATCTTTCACAAGCCGACCAATCTTACTTAAGCTCTCGTGCTGGACTACTTTGCTCAATACAGAAAATCAAATGCTAATTAACTAGTGTTCTTAAAGAACTTATTAGAAAGACTTCGAAAAACCAACATATTATGCTTATTAACAGACCATAAGGGGCTACTTTAAACCTATGCATTGCTAATTGAAAACCCAACATATTATGCTTGATTAATTCATCTGCAGGAAAAATTTCAACAATAACAGTACTGCTAATACTAGTAGCAACAACATTACTCACATCATCATCAATACAACCAGTCTGATCATAAAGGGCTCGTTTCTCTTCATCCCCGAGAATCGAAATAACCTTTTGCAGCTGTTGGAATTTCTCTTTGGCCTCCTGTATGAACACAAGGAATTACAGCTACAAACACTAAAAATCTAACAAAATGAATCAGATAAAAACACAATCCACTGCATAAAAGAATCACCTCGTCATCGGGGTTCTTATCCGGGTGAAGCCGCAACGCCAACTTGTAATATGCCTTCTTAATTTCCTGTTGAGTGGCCGTTTTCTCCAATCCAAGAACCTACACTAGCATGCTTTGGGATTAACAATTGAAGATATCAAATTTGATTTTTTTTACTTTCCTAATTTCAAACGTGGTTTCGGTAAAATTCCACAATTGATTATATGAATCAAAATCGATTAACTCCACAATACCTCAATTCAACAGAGAGTGAGTGAATTAACGGTACCTGGTAGAGACTTTTTTGAGGTTGATCTTCCATTTCTTCGTCATCGGAAACCCTAGCTTTGTTCTTTGGCGCCATTTTTTCACGGAGTTTTTTTTTTTTTTTTGTAGAGAAAGAGTGATAAGAAACACTTGTTTGTTCCCGCTATAAAACGCGATTCGTGATTATTCTTTTTCTTTTCCCGCCTTTGTTGTTTTGGTGGAGACTATAGGGTGTGACGTGACCCACACGAAAATCTACCGTGTGCATCTCAAATAAGCAATGAGGCCTTAGGGAAATTCTTTTCCCCTCACCCCCCACTCTCTCAAGCACTCCTTGAATCCCAAAACAAATAATATGTTCAAATTCTAGGGTCTTTTTAGTAAATACTATGTTTAAATTCTAAGATGCTCTAATTTAGATTATGAGTGTTTGTAATCCGATTTAGACAGTTTTGATATTAAAAATCATTTGATTTTAAAGTGTAAGAAAAAAATATGGAGTTCGATTTATTTGTTTTTGTTGATTTTTAAAAATAAAATTGAGTCAAATCAAACTAAAAAAAATGTGATTTGGGTTAGTTTTATTTTTTACAAAAAAAAATTATCAAGTCATACATAC